AAATCCAGCATCTGAAGCAAATTTGAGAGTTTTCATCTCTTAATGCAGCATTTGTGCAAGTTTGGTTTATACAATGTTATATAAGCCTTATAGTTTTTGGAAATAGACCTGAAACCATAACTTTTACCTTGTCTATTATCTGAAAAATGTATGTCGAATTCAGCATCCGAAGCAAGTCCATTAGTGTGCATCCTTAGATGTATCATCCATGCAAGTTTGCTCATTATAGGGCTCATAGTTAATTGGAAATGAAACATGCATCAAAAACTAACATTTTCATTCATCCACAAAAAGTAGGTCAGATTCAGCATCCGAAGCAAGCCTGGTAGTATGCATCCTTAGATGTATCATCTATGCAAGATTGGTCATTAAAGAACTTATATTTCCTTGGAAATGAAACCTGCACCAAAAACTTTTACCTGTTCACTCAACCGGAAAATGCAGGTCAGATTCAGCATCCGAAGGAAGTCTGGTAGTGTGCATCCTTAGATGTAATATCCATGCAAGTTTGGTCAACATAGGGCTTAAAGTTACTTGCAAATGAAACCTGCACCAAAAACATTAACCTGTTAGCTCAACTGGAAAATGTAGGTCAGATTCAGCATCGTAGCAAGCCCGGTAGTATGCATTCTTAGATGTATCATCCATGCAAGTTTGGTCAACATAGGGCTTATAGTTACTTGAAAATGAAACCTGCACCAAAACCTTTAACCTGTTCACTCAACCGGAAAATGTAGGTCAGATTCAGCATCCGAAGCAAGCCCGGTAGTATGCATCCTTAGATGTATCATCCATGCAAGTTTGGTCAACATAGGGCTTATAGTTACTTGAAAATAAAACCTGCACCAAAAACTTTAACCTGTTCACTCAACCGGAAAATGTAGGTCAGATTCAGCATCCGAAGCAAGCCCGGTAGTATGCATCCTTAGATGTATCATCCATGCAAGTTTGGTCAACATAGGGCTTATAGTTACTTGGAAATGGAACCTGCACCAAAAACTGCACCAAAAATGTTAACCTGCTCCAAAAACATTAACCTGGTCATTCCTTTGCTGAAATTGCAGCATCTGAAACTCTGTTTGGTACAATGAAACACACTAGAACCATATTCCATGCATGTCTAATCAATATTATAGGACTCAGAAGTAATTAAAAAGAAAACTGCTCCAAAAAACTTAACCTTAACCTGGGACGCCGACGCCGAGGGTATCACATAAGCTCCCCCCAACTTCGTTGAGGTGAGCTAAAAATGGAAGTTTAAACAGAGGCATATGTAGATACATTCATTATCTAATTGGAAAATACATGTACTTTGTTTTAACTTCAATCCACCCATGTGGTTGGTTTGATTGATTGAATGTTGTTTAAGTCCTATTTGAGAATTTTTCACTTTACTCTGCACTGAGGGCCAATTGAGCAGTGAGGGTTCTTTATCATGCCAATGCCTACCATGACATAGAGCCTCAGTTTTTAAGGTCTCATCTGAAAGACCAGCGACTTTCACTTCCAAGTGCAGAGTGCTAGTGGCCAAGGAACAGTTGCTACCTTTTTTTTTTTTGACAGTTCAGTCACAGCTGTGATTTGAACACAGAACCTTCTGATCATGGAATGCTCAACCAACTGACCTATGGTTTGATAAAAGTCAGATTGACACTAGGGCAAATGGTTTTCATTGGTTGAAAAGAGAAAGTAACACAAGTCTTCTATTAATTAAGAAATAGAGCAGTGCTCTCTTTGTAAGTCAGACTTGTATTTAGCTCGAAAAAAAAAAAAAAACATTAAAGATGTATATACACATGGTAGGCCAGAATTATTACTGAAGTTTCATGCCTTAATAAAGCAAGCCTTAAGGACCTTTCACAATTGGTGCACGAGCAGAAGTGACAAAATATTCGTGCGACCGAAAAACTGTAAGTTGGATCGTAAACTGTTGCTGAAATAATCGCATATGAAAAAGTATTCGTACGAAATTTGCACGATCTAAAGCGACCGTTGTGCATTAAATCTTACGATATATCTTGCGTCTATAAGCGACTGTTGTACAATGAAAGCGAGTGTTGTAAGATAATGCTAAAGTATCGCGGGAGTTATCAGGTGATCGGACGATTGAACGTACACCAATGTGATTGGACGTAAAGCGCTCGTGCAATCATGCGATTCCTGGTACGACTGATCGTGCGGGTGAGAAGAAGAATATATATATACTACCTGTTTCTGACCCTCATCAATCAAATGCAAGAGATGCCGCCCAAAAAGACGACAAGAGCTTCTAGTAAAGCTAAAGTAAGTCGTAGAAAGAAGGCCCAGGGGGAGGAGGAGGTCCAGGACCTGCCACAGCAGCAGAGCCCTGTTCATCCTGAGCTTGTCAACGAGGGGGAAGAGCCACCAGACCACCCAATTGAACCTTTACAACCCGATGGGTACAGTGAGGATAAGGACGAGGAAGATCCTTGCAAGCATAAATCCTTAGAGCTAACTCCAGAGCAGGAACAAGAGTTAGCAGACTTTTTCGAAGAAAAACCCCTGCTTCTATGATAAAAGTCGGAGTGATTTTAAAAACACCAAGAAAAAAGATCGCCTGATTCAAGAAAAGGCAGCAGCTATGAATTTGACTGGTGCGTAAATAAAAACTATATTATTAAACATTCTAATTGATTTATTTTGATATATTTAATTTATTGTTGAATATTTTAAATTCTTAATCTTAACAAACTGGCATTTGTTTCTTTTCAGTATCAGACATCCGGCTCTGGTATAGATCCCAGCGAACCATCCTGGGCAAGGTCCAGAAAAAGAAGAGTGGCCAGAAAAGGTGCAACCTCACAGCCAGGCAGAAGTGGGTGGAAACAAACTTAGGCTTCCTGAGAAGACACATAGTGCACCGGCCACAGGGATCCCAGCTCGGACAAGTACCAGCTGATGAAGAGGACGAGGATAGTGAGCCCTCCTCCTCGGTTACACAGGCACCCACCAGAAAGAAGCAGAAAAAGAAGGACTTGGATACAGCAATCATTGACCTGCTGGAGAGGACTGACAGGCAGATGGTTGACCTGACTGCAAAAGTCGACGCAGCAATGAGTCACAGCAGCGACGAGAAGCAGGCCTGGGTGAACTGGATGTTGCAAGCCCTCCAACCCCTTCCTCGACATATCTGGCGGGACTTCATGAAAGAGGCGTTTGCTCTCGTCAGCAAGTACCAGGACAGGGTGGAGAATGAGCAGCGGGAGCACTTTGCACTGCAGTCTCTGCAACAACCACACAGACCAGCGACCCCCCAGATGGTGACCCCGCCGATAATGCCGGTCATACCAGCGTCAGTGCCCGCCCAATGGCCTCAAGACCTCACACAGATGCAGCCCCAGCCCCAGATGTACAACCAGATGTATCCACAGTCTTCAGATGTTCTGGCCGCCGCTGCCCGTACCCTGAATTAGTGATAAGTGTAGTCTAAGCAGCAGCAGCAGAAGATTCTGATTTTGTATATGAATGTAACATTAATAAAGAAGTTGTATTTTTTTTGCATAAAGATGTAACTAATAAAAAATAAAACATGTCACATTTTTAAATAATTTTGTTTGTAGTCTCGCCTCTCATTGGTTGATTTCTATAAAGGGACGCAAATTATTTTGTTTAATTTGGTTTGGTATGGGGACAAACCTTCTTGATGACTAGCTTAAAGATCATATCCATTTAATCCCCTCATTTCCAGTCCTCGGAATGCATTGAAAATTCCAGATTTAATTGATGTAATTAGGGAGAGGGCGTAATAAAATTTATCCTGCCTCTGATAAAAATCGTGAAATTTCATTGGCCGAGAGCAATACTGCATGAAACAATGTTATGCTGTCTACCCACCTCACATTGCTAATGTGCCCCCTCCACGTGACCTACCCACCATATATTAAAAATATACCAACCACACATCATCAATATACTGCTTTCACGTGACCCACACGGAGCTTCATATCTGACGTCACAATGCGTCTGACGACAACGTACAATGGATGTAGAACATCTTGCTTGGACGTTCAGTGAAAGCGGTTTATTGATACTATCAATATCTAATCTTTTAGTGATCGAATCATCAGCAGGATAAATTCGTTATGTAGACACTTAGAGTGGTAATACGGAAATATGTGGGATCCTTGAAAAAATGCATATTGGGCTCGGCTTACGCCTCGCCCAATATGTATTTTTTCAAGGACCCCACATATTTCCGTATTACCACTCTAAGTGTCTACATAACTAATAATGTTCCAATCAATTAATGTACCTTTAACTTCAAATAGTTACTCTTTTTACTTTATTTAACAAACATCATGGCTGCTAGACCTATGCTACACCTCCCCTCGCTTCAAAGAGCAACACAATTTTACATCCAAAGTTGATTAATTATTTTAAAATTATATTATAAGGAATTACTCTAATTCTTGGCCATATTATCGAGTATAATCAGGTTTGGGCCAGTTTACGCTTTATATTCCGTTCGAAGCGGATTATAGACCGTAAACTGACCCAAACCTGATTTTACTCGATAAAATGGCCAAGAATTAAAGCGATTCCTTAAATAATATAATTCTGGTTGTAATTAACATTTTGATTGGTTGAAAAAATAGCTTATACTGTATAATCTGGTTGCCAAGTCACTATATCTCATCTATACTGTTCAAGTAAATCAAAAGTATTTTTTATTGATATACAAATTTACATCTTTACTTGATCAATATCACAGTCTATATCATATTATGCTGCCACGGCAAGCTCCCAACGTTGCTGTTGTAGTAATGTTTCAGGTAGGCTCGGATTCTCTTGCCATCCCGATTTGGCAAGTTTCCTCTGCCAACTGCTTCCACATCTTGTAGAACTCGGTCGTTTCTCCATGCTCCGGGGATGTTGTTTCCAGCTTCATCTTCCTGATCCAGGTCGTTGTTCTGCAAGCCAGGATAGCGGAGTCTCATCAGGTTGTGCAGGCATATGGCAGCCATGACGATGATCTTGGCTCAGTCTGGATCCTGCTGCATCGTACCCGGCATGCATCTCCAGCGGTGTGCAAGGATGCCAAAGGTGTTCTCCACCACACGACGAGCCCTGGACAGACGATAGTTGAAGATCCTTTCTTCGTTAGTCATGTTGCGGTTGGAGTAGGGCTTCATCATCCAGGACCTGAGGGGAAATGCGTCGTCTCCTACCAAAAAGTACGGGATAGGCCTGTCATCATGTGGCAGGGGCTCTGGATCTGGCAGGCCAAGAGTGTCATTTTCCAGTCCATTTCTCAGTGGGCCATGGTTGAAGATCTGGGCGTCTGATGAGGAGCCCTGAGTACCAACGTCGGCCCAGATAAATTTGTAATCGGCGTCGACTAAGGCCAGGAGGATGATGCTGAAAAACCCTTTGTAGTTGTAGTAGAGGGTACCAGACCGACGTTTGTTTCTTATGGCAACATGTTTTCCATCCAGGGCTCCGCATGTGTGGTGGAAATTCCATCTTTCACCATATTTCTGTGCCACTTCTCGCCACTCATCTGGGTTAGTTGGAAAACCAAACACTTCGTCTTCATACGCGTCAATGATGGCCTGGCACACCTCTGGGATGAACATTGATATGGTGTTGTGCGCAACACGGAAGGAATACTGGAGGTTCTTGTAGCTGTTTCCTGTCACTATATACCTGATGGTAATAGCCAGCTTTAGTCCAGGTTCTAGTGGCCGTCTGTAACATTCACTTTTCTGGATTCTTGGAGTAATGCGCTGTAGTAGCTCGTAAAACATGACTGGTGGCATTCTCATGTAGTTCAAAAAGTCCCCCTGGCATTCCCTCTCTATCTCCCTCATCAATGTTTCATACTGGCCAAATAACATGCGCCTCTCAATCCATGGCTTGACCCACCAACGTCTTCTATGTCTTCTTTGTCTTTGTAGACGACGAAGAAGTAAAGCTTGCACGACCATATGTCTTTGCTGGAGTACTTGGAGTTGTATTCGGAGATTCAGTATACCAAGCAGACGGCGAGGAGGTATTGGTGAAGCAGCATCCATGGTCAATTGTGGTCTGAAACAGAGATGCTTATATAGGGTATACATACACTAGTGGCAAAGCACAGGAAATTGAAGATGATAAATCGTGCATAGTAAAACGTTGCAAGATTACATGAGACACGTTGAGCAACAGTCTCATGGTCGCACAACGCACGCATTTCCAGCTGCGATTCATCTTACAAACTTTATAAATCGTGCATCACTATTGCAAGTACACAAAACGTTGTAAGACGCTCGTACTAATATTCGTGCGTTGAGTTGCGATAAATGTGGATCGCATTTGGTCGCGTCTGAATAGTGTGCATGTCGACTATTTTGAGGAGACTTGATACGACCACTAAAACGCATGCAACTAATGTGAAACATCGTGCAACATATGCGAGAGCTCGGTGAGAGATCGTGCGAAGCTAAAATTTTCCGATCGCAAAGTGTTGTAAAGTGCTCGTGCGCCAATTGTGAAAGGGCCTTTACTGAGTGTACCAGCCCTTACAGATGAGTCCCTTGGGAAAGACTCCATTGTTTGACAACCAAATGTGTAAAGGTCTCTACTGCTCCCAAGACAATGAATGGCTGACAGTATTGTTTCTGTGATCAATTTCCCCAATACCACTTGTGACGAAGCCTGTCATCATATTTTGTTTTACTCTAAGTGTGACTAACAGACATGCTTTCCTGTGTAACATGTATTATTTCATATAAATTTTATTTCATAAAATGGATTGATATCTTTCAGTTCTAAAAATAATTTTCAAAAATCTTCTAGGAAATAAAAAAAAAAAAAAAAATCTTCTAGGAAATAAAAAAAAAAAAGAAGAGTTCAATTACATGTAGATACAATTAATAAACATGAATTTTGTAAATTTCTGCCAAGATTGGTATCTAGTTTTTAATTTTCCTGAACATGTTTGAAAAGTCTACAAAACTTACTAATAAATGAATTAATCATTTATAATACTCTATATCTTATGTCTTCTTCATAGAAATTAAAGTAAAATGAGCAATTAGGTAATAAACGTCTTCAAGTCAACTAATGTTCTTATGACAAAGAACATGAATAAAAATATTGCAAAAGAGGGGAAAATTGTAAATGATCACGGAATGTGATTGAATTGGCTGCATAATGGGTGATACATAACTGACATTTTCCTCCATAAGGGGCCTGTTAATATTGTTTAATGTAAAAGCTTTCTTGTTGTGGATGCGATAAAATGTGCGGGCAAACATTTCTCTGAGCACGGATTTGATACATATCATGCCATCAGATCGAAAGAAGGCTTCGCAATAACAGATACATTTCCTAAATTACACAACATCTTAAATGCAGGCTCAACTCTTTTATTTCGATCTGCAACTGGAGACAAAAAATGTCTTCCGTTATTGAAAGCTAACACAAAAGATTCTAAAATGCTTGGCAGTTTCATTTGCATACAAATTAAGAAACATCAACTGTAATTTGCATCATCTGACAAAGTCATTTGCTTGATTGAAAATCCGATTATGAAGCTTGACTGCACAGGGAACATGAATTTATCTATAGCTGATCAGTTGTTGTCAACCCTGCATTAAACTATACCATCATCATTCTGATATTCAAGTTTTCTTAAAACTGCAAAATATATTTAATTTAAAGAAATAAAGTACATCAGTTTTATGCCCCACATAATCCGAACCTTTAACCTTGGCAATAACTATTGAAAAGTTTGTGTAAGGGCTTTCATATTTCAAAAGTGTATTCAATGTGGCATGACCTTTCATTTGTTATAAATATGTTTGACCTTTTGATCTTGACCTTAGAGTTTGACCCACTGTATAAAACTTTAACCTTGGTCATAACTTTTGAACAGTTAGTATTCTGTGTCTTTCATATTTCACAAGTATATTCCTTGTAAAAAGTCCTTCTTGATACCAAAAAT